ATTCACTGCATTCCTGTGATCAACATGATTGATTCATTGTGATTAGACAAATATCCTATTTTGCACTTAAAAATCTATTTTCAAAAATACTTATAATTGTGTTTTTCTTTATAATTTTGATGTCAAGGTTATACTGGTTTTATAAAATGAATTAGGTAATTTTTCATCTTCTCTTTACTAAAGAGAACATTTGTATGAAATTAGAATCATCTATTTGAAGTTTTGGTAATATTTACCTGTAATATTATCTGGTCCTATTGTTTATTGGGATTTGAAGGCTTTTGAATATTGAGTGAATATCCTTAAGAGCCATTTTCAATTTTTTTATTCCTTTCTGAATAAAGTTTGGTATCTCTTACTTTTCCAGAAAATTTCTTATCCTGATTTTCAAAGTTATTATATAATATTATTTATTGTGTTTGCTTATGACTTACAAAGTTCCTTTTGTTATGTTACCTTGTTTATTTTCTGTGAATATTTATTTATGATTTATATCTTTTTCTTTGTCGTCATTGAGTTTTGTCTGTATTTCAAATTAAAGCAGTTTTTGTGTTGTTTTATACTACTTAATGTTTCTTGTTTTATTTTGTTTCTTATATTAGCAATCCTGATTTGTAATAAGTTCTGGTTAGAATGTAATTTGGCATTTTTTAAAAAAATAAATTAATTTATGTTTATATATAAACTTTTAAGTATTTTTAATTGCATCCCCCAAGTTTTTATATATTACTACCATTATATTTTGCATTGTCAATCAAGAAAGTTATGATGAATCTAAAATTAAATAATGGTATTTATTTATTGTTAGATTTCAAATCAGGGAACACCAATTCAGCTATTGCACTGGAGTCTTTATTTTAGGGAGTTTTAAAGAAACAGGATGGGAGGGGGAGGTGGGAAGTTATTGCAGGGCTAAAGGAGAAGGAGGTGGAGTTGATCTAGAACTAGGGTTGATTATAGGTTATGTAACTTTGAGTTCATTGGCTTTTAGTCAAGCTGGTCTTGGTTATGATGGTGAGAAGAAAAAGAAGAAAAACATCTTTGTATAGTTCTTGGAAAAGATCCCAGCTACATGGAAACTGGTTCCTGCCAGTCAACAAACTTTTCCTTTAAAATACAAAGGTTCACCGAGATGAAGTGTTGGGCACAAGATAGAATCAGTTCAGTAACCTAAATATCCCTTTGCAAAAAGTATTTTATGATTTCTTTTATGATTTAACTTTTAACCCATCATTATTTACATATGTAATTTAAAATTTTAAGACACACAATTTTATTGACTACATCTTGTGGTTTACTATTATTTAATATTTTTTATTCTCTGAAGAATAACAGTTGAAAATTGTGGTGAGTTATTAATGATCAAATTTTGTAAATAAGAAAATAAAGTTGAGAAGATGTATGTGTTGATTGCGGTTCAATATGTAGTATTAACTGAAGTTACTCATTTTGTTTTTAAAAGTTGCTATGTTTGCTATCATTTTAGTATGCTTAATATATCAATTTCTAATAAAGACACATTTAAATCGCACAATGCAGTTGTAGGATATGTGTTGTATTAGGTTGTTATATGCAAGCCAATGGTTTCTTGGATTGTATCTGAAATTATTATAGGATCTTTTTTTTTTAAAGATTTATTTATGTATGCATACAGAACTGGGCACAGGCCAGAGGTACAGGGGCAGTGAGAGGATTCACCAGAGATAGAGTGGGGGAGAACAGGCAGCTCAACAAAATACATAGCTGAAGGGAGCAGCGGGCGGGTCAGGAGAGGTCTGCTGCGCCATGTGGTCACCTCCCGGGTGGGGATCAAACTCATGCTGAAATGGCTTTAGCTTCTTAGTGCTGTGCTTTAACCCGCTGCACCACCAGGGAGGGCCCTATAGGATCTTCTTTATCTCTATTTTTGTTTCAAACATAGTTTTTCCTGGAAAGATGATAGTTTAGGGAAATCAATATTTGTAGGAAAATCAATATTTGCATAATGTATCCCTTTTTTCTCTTAATTTTTAAGTTTTATCTTAAATTTAATCTCAGCTATTCTTTATGATTTTACATTGTCTTTTATAATTGGTTTTATATCTGAATTTTTAAAAATAATGAAATAGTGGATATCTTAAAAATAGCTTTTTTAGCTGTGTAGTGTACATAACATAAAGTTCACCTGTTTTAAGTATACAATTCAATGGTGTTTAGTGTTTTTATGGACTTGTATAAATATCACCATAATCCAGTTTTAGAGTTTTTCTATCTTTCCCAAAAGAAATCTGAGTCTGTTACCTAGTCACACCTCACCCTCCTTCTCCACCCCTACCTCAGCCCTAGGCAACCTCTCCCTTATTTCCTGTTGAGGTGCCCTCCTTGAGAATTTCATATTAATGAAATCATATAATATGTGACTATTTTTTTTTCACTTAGCATGTTTTTGAAGTTCATCCATATATTTTGTGTCAATACTTCAATGCATGTACATTACTGTATTCACCAGTCCTTTTTATATTTTCTGTTTGTTATCCTCCCCCCCCCCCTTTTTCTTGACTTCTATTGGGTTATGAAATTTTCCCAGTTTTCATCCTTTGATTATTAGAAACTATTCATTGCATTGGCACTGATTGAGTTTCATATGTAAAAATGTTGCATTAATTGGATTAATCTTATAAATATTTATTTTTTAAATAATGCCCATAGACTTTAATGACAATGTTTTTTTTTTTTTTAAAAGATTTATTTATTTGTGCATACAGAACTGGGGTACAGGCCAGAGGCTCAGGGGCAGCGAGAGGCTTCACCAGAGACAGAGTGGGGAGCAGAACAGGCAGATGGACGAAGTACACTGCTGAGGGGAGCAGCGGGCGGGTCAGGAGAGGTCTGCCACGCCATGTGGTCACCTCCTGGGCAGGCGGGAATCGAACTCATGCGGAAGCGGCTTTAGATTCTCAGTGTAGTGCTTTAACCCGCTGCGCCACCAGGGAGGACCAATGACAATGTTTTTTACGTGTTTAATTTGAACTTTCAACAGTCTCTCCTACTATTGGGTAGCATTTTGGTTTTCTTCTTTTTAAATATGAAAGTTACATTCTGTATCATTATAGGATCGACTGTACTGACACATTTGGTTACTCTTTGTGTTCACTCTTTTTATTTCTTTGCCATGACTCACATCTGGATATTTTTTCCTTCTTGCTAAGTCACATCCTCTAGTACTTTTGTTAAAATCTGTGCATGACAAACTGTCCTGGCTTTGATGTCTGAGAATGTGCTGATTGCTTGGTTCAGTCTGAAATTCTAGATTAAAGGTAATTTTTCCTCAGTACTTTGTGGATGTGACTTCATGGACGTCTAACCTTTATTGTTGATGAGAAAAACATCACTTTGTATTTCCACCTGGATATTCCCCCTTTCAAGGTGTTTAAAGCAGACTTTGTTTATTCTGATTCCTATACTAATTTGGTCTAATGTATCTGAATTCTGACTTACCTATGTTTAACCTAATTAATTCTTGGGGTCTACTGTTAATTTGAGGACTCAGGTCTTTGCTTCTAGAAAATTGCTTAGTAATTATCGCTTTAATTATTACATCTCAGTCACTCTCCACTCTCTTCTCTTGGGACCTCAATTAAATGAACTTAGAAGTCTCCTATAACTCTACCTTGTCTCTCTTCTCTGTACATATTATAACATACATGCATAATGTGACATGTGTGTGTCTCTGTGCATCTAACTTCCATGGGTCTGCAGTTCATCATAAGAAGCAATAGTCAGGCAATGCTATGCACCATTTTACTCAGGTTCCAATCAGCAAGAGGCCAATGTAAGCCCCTGGGTCCAAGTGGAGAGGTGGTCTCTGGTTACCTGGTGGTCACCTGGTGGTCTCTGGTCACCTGTTGGCTCCCCTTAGGAGCTAATTTCTCTTACAGCACCCCTTCTCTTCCCCCCCACCCCACAGAGTCCATCTGCATTCAGAACATGTTCAAATAGCAGAAACTTCTGTTTTCTGCTTCCTTTTTTGTGTTAAACTTTATTTACTGTTTTTTAAAAAGATTTATTTATTTATGCATACAGAACTGGGGTACAGGCCAGAGGTGCAGGGGTGGTGAGAGGATTCACCAGAGACAAAGTAGGGAGCAGAACAGGCAGATGGACAAGTACACTGCTGAGAGGAGCAGCGGGTGGGTCAGGAGGGGTCTGCTGTGCCATGTGGATCACCTCCCTGGCGGGGGGATCAAACTCATGCTGAAGTGGCTTTAGCTTCTCAGTGCTGTGCTTTAACCCACTGCGCCACTAGAGAGGGCCTATTTTCTAATTGTTAAGAGATATTTATTGAATATGGCTCCCTCTCTCTCTCTCTTTTTAAATATCATTGCTATGTCTTTAAAGCAGAGAAAGTTAGAGTAGTGTAAACTCCATACTAAATCTAAAGTCTGTGTCCTGGATTTCTAACCCTGCATCCTTTATTTACAAGCTGATTTTTCCCTCACTGTTAATATCATTAAACATAATTCTGTAGACATTTATATTTTATTCAGAAAATGTCTCTCTTTAGGTCCCCTGCTCCACACTGAACTCTGTACCCTAGATCTTGAGATTGTATTTATAAAGAAACCCTAAAGGTCACCCACCTGTATTTGTGTCAATGGTCAGTTACACTGACTCAAGAAACTCAAGAATGTGGCCATTTGTGTCCTTACCGGTTTTAATTTGTATTCATTAGCAGGGAGAAAGCAGACACAGATAAGCAAAAAATAGGTAAATAAAAATAACTGCATCCATCAATGAGAGAAAGCCATTGTTAAAGGTTTGGGTTTATCTTTCCTATTAATTAGACTCCTTCAAAGAGTTGTTAAGCAGTTAAAGAAACCTTTATTTGAGATTGTTAGTGAAGGTTATTTATTGAACCAAATTGTTCTTTCATTGCTACTTTGATTAAAGAAGAGAAAATAAAAAGTAATTGCAATAATTATTTTATTTTAAAGGAAGGTTGACTGCAGATTTCAATTATCATGTCTGATTCAGTCATTCTTCGTAGTATGAAGAAATTTCGAGAAGAGGATCATGGTTATGAATCACATGGATCATGTAAGTGGCCCTTTTTTTTGGTCACAGTTATTTGTACAAAAAGAGGTAAGAACAAAAGTGGGTCAAGCTTGTAAAGTTTCAAGAGGCAGAAAAAAACCAGCAACATATGTAAAACAGTTGCTACTTGTGATTCTTTGGAATTACTGATTCTTCTAGAATCTGCATAATGTAATATCTGAAAGTGCCAGGTAAGAAAGCATAGAACATGTGTGAGTAAGGGAATCTCAGCAATGGCTATCTCTTTTCTAGATAGTGTAAGGTTGTTCCAGTTCTGGCTATTATTTTTACCTTCATTCATATGTTATGGCTGATTATAGTTATAATCATTTAGTGAGTACTGTTCCCTGAGAAAACCTGTACAAAGACTCCTGGCCAGGATGAAATAACATGGAATGGCCCCAATATCATGAGTACATGGTGTGTCTACTATTACTTAAATTTTTTCAGAAGAAGAAATTGAGACTTGAATACATTTTTTAAATTTGGCAAAAATCACATGACTAGTTGATTCTGAAACCCAAGAATGTTAATATCTACCTGTATGCTATTCCTTTACACTTATTAAATTAAAGTGGTGGTGATAGGTGATGTTAGCATCTTGGGTTCCTTTCCCGGATTATTGTTTGTGGTTGATATTTTGAATAGATAAATTGTGATGTTTCTAAAGAACTGAATAATAAATTTTTATTTTGCTCAGTTCCAAAAAATCAGATTTTCTTCAGCTAATTTAGAAATATTTGCTTCCTTTTGATATTCAGAAGACACAAAAATGTCATATTCTGGAGAAAAATCCAGAAATGAAATAAAGTCAACAGTTTTGAATATAGAGAGATATGGAGAAAGAGAAAAGGAGAAAGGAAGAGAGAATGGAAGGAGAAAAGACAAATAATCATTATGTAATGTTGCGGGAATAAAACTAAATACAGGAATATTTTTTGATCAAAGTTGTTAATGGCTATTGTATGTATCATAATTATTAACTTCATATGCATTGTTTTTATCTTGACAGATAACAATGATAAGAATTCAAGGTAAGTCACTATTTCAACAGTGAATCATTTTCTCTAGAATAATTCTACAATAGTCCAATAAAGACATAAAGCAAAGACTAAATTTGAATGCACATCACATTTATTGTAAACGATTTATATAATCAAAATTTTCTTTCTAAAATATTGTTATAATGTGATTTCAAAACCCTTTTGAAATATCCTTTCTGGATTAGACCCAAATCTCTGTGCATTCAGAAATATAGAATTTCTGACCTAAATCAGCAGAGGAAAAGTTGGACAAGCTTGAATTCATGGGCACAGGGGAGATCCCCAAACAATAATATTTCCACAGGCAAATAGTAGAAACCTAAGCTTTAATTATTAGATTTTTTTTTCATTTAAAAGTTTAAGCTAGCATATACAACCAATATTGATTTACTGTACTTTGGCGTGAGGCAGGATCAAATGGCAGGTAGCAGGCTCATTGAAACACAGAAGGAGGTATCAGGCAAGTTCCTGGTGGTGGAGGGAGAAAGATGTATAGTATTCAAAAATTTTTAAGTAATTCACGGATGAAGGAGGAGCTGGGCCTGAAACTATTAACTTTGGAGTAGGAGTGAGAGGGTCAACTTGGACTTAGACGAGGTGGGAAAGAGACAAAAATGGATGTGGCACAATTTTCTCACAAGGTGGGAAAGAGACAAAAATGGATGTGGGTGCAGACAAATGGCAGTGAAAGTGAGCAAGAAGGCTGAATGAGTTCTTTTTGTTTTTGGGAAGATCGCAGAATGAGAAGTTTGATTAATATGCTGAAGGGAATGTAAGCAATCATAGGGGGTGGAGTTATAGGTTTGCAGGCTAACTTAAGGCTGGTGACTGTACTCATTCATTCATTCATTTCATAAATATTAATTGAATGTCTACAAGGTGTCACATTCTATTATAGGTGCTAAAGATACAGAAAAGAATAAAATAGGCCAAAAATCTCCCCCCTTGAGGAACTTTCATTTGAGTGAAGGAGATATAATGAATACCATAAGTAAATAAAATATGTAATATGTAGCTAGTGATAATCTATCAATTTTTTTTCTAAGAAGAAAAAAGAAAACATACATGGAGATATGAAACAACTACCTGGTAGTTTAACTTTGGGGCCAAAGTTAAAGATTTTAAAACTTTGACCAGAAAAGATCATTTTGAGGGAATGACTTTTGCAGAAATATCAGATGGTGCTGAAGCAGTTGGCCACGCAGATATCTGAAGAATGAACATCTTGTAAAAGGGATTAGCAAATGCAAATGACCAGTGGTAGAAACAACTTTGACCTGGGCAAAGGTCAGCAAGGAGGCCAGGCTACTGGGGAGGTGAAACATGAATGTAATGAGGTGATGAAGTCAGAAGGCCAAGTGACCAGGCCATGGAGGGCTTTGGATGGCTCAACAGGAACACAGGATTCTACTCTGAGCTGGAAGAGCCACGTAAGGCAGCTGAGTGCTAGGCCTGGCATGTGTTAATATCAGTTCACTTAGAGGGAAGGTTTCCAGTAAATCCAGCTTTAGAAAGAGAAGGGCAAATAGCTGGAAGGATGCAGAGATGGGGTTTCCAAGGATGGAGTTGGGGGAAAGAATTCAGGATAATGATGAGAATGTGATCCAAATAGCAAGCATTGGGACCTGGGATGTAGGGGAGAACATTCTGGTATTGTAAGTAAATGAGGGTTTACAGGACTACAGGTGTCAACTGTGGTGATAAATAGGTGTGGAAGGAGGAAGGAAGTGAGAAAACAAGTTGCAGGAGCAGTCCCAGAATGCTGATGGAATTGAGTAGTTCCTGTTGATAACAAGGTCCAGCATACATTTAGGAATGGATGGTTATGGTGAAGCAGAAATCCTTGGAGTTAGAAAGGTCAAGCGTGGGTTGAGCATAACCTTATGAGAAATAAAATGAATAAGATATACTGAAGATATATGATTTTATGGGACATATGGGAGGTTTTTGTTATTATCATTTCATTAATATTTAATGTTGTTGTAAAATTGTTGAGTGCTAGGAGGAAGGTTTAAATTAGTTATTCTAACCACTTCAATTACTCACAAGGAAATGTAGGTAGAATGAGGTCAAAGGTCAAAACTGAGGTCAAACAATTATCTGGTAGTTTAACTGGGAGTACAGAGCATTTTTTTTATAGAGCAAAATGTCAGTACTGAACATAAGCTAAGTCTACATTGAAATATCTTGAAGAGGTAAATCTGAAGAATGAAAGCTTGTTTTTAAGAGCCAGGTTTGACAAGAATTTCTCAGCCAGTGGAGTTTTCTTTTCTTCATAAGAAGTAACTCATCAAATCACCACCTACGGAGAATTTCTCAATGTTTTGCAAAGGATGGTCTGTAAATCCCTGTGTTTTCATTTCAGGTTACAAGATGCAAAGAAAGGAGACAGCAGACCCATTGGCTTCTTTCAACTGGTAATAAATATGAACTGATTTATGGTACAGGCTTTGCGACTATAAATTATTTCCAGCATGGAGGAAGTGTTAAATCTTAAGTTTTAAAGTACAATGATCACTTTTTCAATACAAACTTTGTGAGATAACTTGCTACATAGCTATTAGAAATATACTGGTGGTTGAACATACAATTCGTATCTGGTAAATCCTGCAAACTAATCACTAACCTCATAATACTATTTTAGTAAGAAAAATGACAAGTATCAGTACTGAGAGCAAATTTATGTGTACTGAACGCTGCACAGGATTTATGCCCTTGGCAATGACAATGGTGCCAGTGATTATTCTCCCTTCAGTTTTGGGTGAATAGCCAAGAACCAAATGTAGCTCTTCAAACAGAGTCTAAGAAAGAAGTGCCATGAACTAACAATGAGGCTAACACTTTAGATTAGCCTCAATATCAATAGTGAGAAATCTATTGTCAATTAAGATGATTCCCATAAACTGTGGTTTTGAATACTATTTATCAAAATCTAGTAACTAAAATTAAATAGTCCTCCTACCTCTCCTGCTTTTCACCCATAGATGATCTCTGAATCCTTTGTTTTTCAAGTTTCGTTTTTCTTCAACGACTGACATTTGGCTGATGTTTATGGGAAGTTTATGTGCATTTCTCCATGGACTATCCTATCCAGGCGTGCTATTAATTTTTGGCACAATGACTGATGTTTTTATTGACTATGACATGGAAGTACAAGAACTCAAGATCCCTGGAAAAGCATGTGTGAATAATACCATAGTATGGATCAACAGCTCCCTCAATCAGAATGTGACAAACCAAACACTTTGTGGGTAGGCTGCCGTTTTTCCTTTGTTTATTTTTTGCTCATATCTTAAACTGTAATTCAAAGTATGTACACGGGACTTTAATGACTGAACTTCAGTGGTCACTAACATGGAGCAAACTTACCCATATTTCTACAAATTACTCTGCTTTGAGTTTCTTCCCACTCTAGCAGGGTTTCAAATCATAACAGAACACAGGATTGGAAAATGCCCACTTAACACATCACCCCAAATTATAAGAACTTTGCAGACTATAGCCTTAAGAATAACACTGCTGGGCCCTCCCTGGTGGTACAGCAGGTTAAAGCACAGCACTATGAAGCTAAAGCCACTTCTGCATGAGTTTGATCCCTGCCCATCCTGGAGATGACCCACATGGTGCAGCAGACCTCTCCTGATGCTCCGCTGCTCCCCTCAGCAGTGTACTTCTATCTGCCTGTTCTGCTCCCTGCTTTAGCTCTGGTGAAGCCTCTCACCACCCCTGCACCTCTGGCCTATATCCCAGTTCTGTATGAATAAGTAGATGAATATTAAAAAAAATAACATGACTAATACTTTACTTAATGACCCTGGGGAAAAGATTTATGAATTTTGAGTCCTTGTCATATCTCTTAAGCTAATTCCCGTCTGTCCCGTAGCTTGTTTAGTTTCTGTGACTGTGGCTAATGATGCATTTGATCCACTGTCTTTCTCTAGCATGGAGATTTCATTAGTGTTCCATAGGACTTGGAGGAGGGGCCACTGGACTCAGTTGGTGGGTGAGTTTCAGTGGAAGAATGGTAGTGCTGTAAACACAAGGCAGTCATGTGGAATGAGCCAGAGCTCACTGTGCAAATGCTATCTTTGTGCTAAGCAACATAGGCTGCCTTGTAATACATGAATCTGCAGTATAGACAGGGCTGACTCACTGTCGAAGCAAGGACTTTGCAGCTTGCCTCACACTGTCTCAGAGTCAAAACAAGTTCATTTGCATGTATGAACCAATTCATTCAAGGTTAGAGAGGGGCAGCACATGTCCTGGCTAGAAAGACACTTGGAATGTGTCCCCCAAATAAATTTACATTTTTTACCTTCTTTTCCAAAAATCATCAGCAGACTTGATTCCAGATGTGAACCAATCTTTCTAAGTCACTAATGCTCTTCCATCATAGGTGAGTCATCTTAGGGTCATTCATTCAACCAAAATTTGGATATCAAATATGTACCAGGATCTTGTGCAAGCATCAAGGATACTAGAGTTATCTTACACATTGTAGTCCTAACCTTCAGGATGGACCTTAGTGCTAGTCAGGGAGCCCATCATTTAATCAATGGCTATTAAATATATAGTTACCAACTGGTTGATGCTTGACAGAAAAGTACAGGATAACATACAATGTGCACAATTACCCTTTAAAAAATAATAAGACTTGTCATTAGAAATAGAATTTCTATTGTCTAAATATGTATGTTTCTTTTTCTAAGTTTAGAAATTTTATTTTCATAAGAGAAGATTTTGGCTTATACCCAGTCCTTCTCTCAAGTATCTTGCCACCTTAAAGCAAGAGATATGGTAACATACATCTGAGCTGATGATACCTACATCTCTGAATCATAATCAGGATGGTAAACCAATGTTACCTCATTTAAAAAGTTTAAAAGTAGAAAATAAATAAAATCTGTGGTTTGCAAAAAAAAATGAACAAATGTACTCAATGTAAAGCTATTTAATAATGTTATTGAATAATAGTACAAGATAGCAATAAAACTATTCATGGAATAAGAGTTTGCTTCTAACTAAAGAAATCATACTTTAATTCTTTGTCTGAGTTCATTAGAGGGTACAGAAAATTCAAAAAGAAGGTCTGATAGCAGACAGGATGTAAGATTTTATTTTATTTTTATTTTTTAATGTAACATTGATTTTTCACAATATGTGTGATCTAGGGGTATAGTTTCACATTTCTTCAGATGTCTGTTATCACCACCATCAAGGCACCCACAGTCCTCTACTGTAGTCTATTGGGCCCCTGCACCTTAAGTTTACCCTTCTACCCTCCCCCTCTGGTAATCTTCATTCTACGGTTAGATGTCTAGGGTTTGATTTGGTTTAGTTTCATCTGTTCCTTTGTTTTGTTTCTCTACATCCACATATGAGAGAAATCATCTGCTGTTTGTCTTTATTCTTCTGACTTAGCAAAGGAGAAAAAGGAATGGGACAAATAGAGTTGGTTACCTAGAGAAAAGAAATAACCACATCATTCAATGACCATTTATTCGAAATGTCCCAAATAGTCCAATCCACAAAGACAGAAAATTGATTAGTTGGTGTGAGAGGACATAAAATCAACTCAAAAAAGAAACACTATATAGGAACATTTATGCTAAAGATGCTGCTTTCTAATTTCTAATGTACTCTATATCACTTAACTTGTCCTAAGGATCAAAATTACCATCAGGCAATATGTTAATTTTCTAATTATAAAATTCTTTTTTTCCTGAAAGCAATTTCAAAATATTTTTTCCCCTCTCTGTGCCTGCCAATCTCAAGCCCTTTGCCAATGACTGTTGTGCTGGCAAAACGTTCTAGTTTTTTCTTGCTGTTCCCCACAAGTGTTTTTGGCATTAGCCTTAGACATTGTCCTGGAGAGAGAAGCCTTGTGGCCGTTTGGTCACCAGAAAGACTAGACAAGATGACTCATTTTTCAAAGTCACTCTGAGTTAGAGCAGTTGAAAAGCTGACTTGGATTCCTAGGGAAGTAAGAACAAGTCATTTGATTTATAACCCACCTCTGTCTTTTCAGATATCTGGTAGGAAACAAAGGTTTTAAAAGCTTTGTCCAGCTGTGATTACTCATCAATCCATAATGAGTGTGAGTCAGAGGGGCCAGAGTCCTGGGCTGCTGCCTGGGGTCTCTTGGCTTCCTGCACCTGCTGGTCAATTATTTCCTGGACCGGGCATTTCTGTCCATAAAAATGAAAGGTGTAAGGCATCACCTTCTAATATTATAGACTGATTATAATTGTACATTTAAAAATGCCTTACTTGTATTTAACATATATATTTTTTTAGATTTTTCTATACCCATACGTGTAACTTTAGTAGCCTGAGTGAGTCTTAACCTTTTCCCTTGCTTTCAAGGTTGCTGGATATTGAAAGCGAAATGATCAAATTTGCCAGTTACTATGCTGCAGTTGCTGTTGGAGTGCTCATCACAGGATATATGCAAGTTAGTAGCTGCCTTCTTTTTCTCATTAGGTCAACATCTGGAATTAAAGACTAATTGCAATGCGAAGTGTCCTCTTTAATTTTGAATTTATTCAGAAGCCCTAAGCCTACCGTTTTTATGTGGTAGGGGTTGTGAGAGAACAGGAAGAACTCTTTCCTCTCAGTTGGGAAGAAGGATACGAGGTAGTCTATAGAGATAAATATAATTTTGGTAAATGTCCCATCTTCCCTTGCATTTTCTATTTCCATCCTCTTCCAAACTCAGAAACAGACAGATGTGTGTATCATTGTAGAGGGATCATAATACCTTTAGAAAGCTTGGCATGGAGAATTAGAGAAAAGCAAAATTTACTTTCTTTTTCTCTTTTGTTGTTGATGCCTGATCAAATTAAATTCCAACTCCAAAATAGTGATTTAAGAGAATAATTCATTTTGGGCTTATGAAGGTTTATTTTATACATGAAGAGGGTAAAGTTCAATAAAGTTAAGTCTAAAAGGTCAGAGCTAAATGCAACTCGGATCTTCTGGCTTCCCTGTGTAGAGTGGAGCCCATCTCCACTTTTACCAGCTGCCAGAACTCATACCTTAGTTCACAAGAAGTGGTAATTTGTGAATTATTTCCTTCCTCTTCTCAATTGCTATACTGATGGTATTTTCTTCTGAAAAGCAGAGGGCTTAGTGAGTCTTTTAAACATTGCAGTGCTAAGCATTCCTTGTTCCATTTCCAGATATGCTTTTGGGTAATTGCTGCAGCTCGTCAGACACAAAAAATGAGAAAAATTTACTTCAGGAGAATAATGAGAATGGAAATGGGATGGTTTGACTGCAATTCAGTGGGAGAGCTGAATACTAGATTTTCTGAGTGAGTAACTGGTAGGATGTTAACGTATGCATGATATTTTTAAATAATAAAATTACTATTTCTAAACTGAATAACAATGTAAAGCACATTTTCAGTTATCTTTGGTATGGTTTATCTTTTAAGGGGGCATGGTTTTTACATAGGTACTTCCTTATCAAATTTGATCATTAACAATTAAAAACCAGGGTACCGGCCCTCCCTGGTGGCGCAGTGGGTTAAAGCACAGCACTGAGAATCTAAAGCCGTTTCCGCATGAGTTCGATTCCCGCCTGCCCCGGAGGTGACCACATGGCGTGGCAGACCTCTCCTGACCCACCCGCTGCTCCCCTCAGCAGTGTACTTCGTCGATCTGCCTGTTCTGTTCCCCACTCTGTCTCTGGTGAAGCCTCTCACCGCCCCTGCTCCTCTGGCCTGTACCCCAGCTCTGTATGCACAAATAAATAAATCTTAAAAAAAAAAAAAACAACCAGGGTACCATAGGCCCTTGTTTTGAACACTATAAACAAAGTTTATGAACAGAGTTAAAAAACAAACAGTAATTTGACCTTAAGAGGATAAATTGAGAGATGTCATAAAATTACATATCTACAAAGAAAACAAGCATGTCAAATTACTTATATTGTTTTGTCTGTTGAGGCAATTGTTACACACCAAACAAAACCAAAATAACAAGAATTTGAGAATGATACAAACTAAAACTAGATTTAAATCTCATGATACCTAAATATTATGTTGGGTCATTAACAGCTCCCAGTAATTCTGAATGAGCCCTGAGTAATTAGAATCAGTTGCACCCTATTGAAATGAACTATGAGGTCCCAGAAAAACAGTGTACATTTAAAAGCAGACTGTGTGGGGACTCCTAGGTTTCAGGGGTTATTTTGTCCCTTCCCATGACCTTGAACAAATACTACCCTTGCTGTAATACTTTACCTAATTGTATTAGCTTTAAGTAATGTCTTAGGTTCTTTTTTGCTATTAAATCCCAGCCTCTGGATGTTCCATCTAGATAAGAATATGAGATTGTTTCCAGGAATATGAATTTAATGTCATTATATTCAACAAATATTCTGGAGCACTTAACCAAATGCAAGGCATAAGGATAAACCTCAGACTTCTGCTCTCAAGGAAATTACAGCCTAACATGAAAAGAATAATGGGTGTGAGCAAATAAATAAGCAGAGTTAACATATTGATTGCTCACTGCATGCTGGACACTGCTCTACATGCCTTGCATATATTAGCTAATCCCGACTACTATTCACTGACATTGGTTCTGTTATTATCCTTAATTTAAGAATGTGAGACACAGAAAGGTTAAATAACTTGGCCAAGAAAAGCTTGTGTTTAAAGTGAGAATCTGTCTTTAGATTCCTTTCATTTTTCATCTTTATTCTAAACATCTTCTGCCAAATCCAAGAATATTTTACACATACACACACATAAAGGTTACTTCCTTTGCTGTGAAAACACAGGGAGGAAGACATTACTTCTTCCTAAGGGATTATATTTGGTTTTGTAAATGAGGTGGCATGTCTGTAGAATTTTTTTTTTTTTTAAAGATTTATTTTATTTGTTCATACAGAACTGGGGTACAGGCCAGAGGCTCAGGGGCGGTGAGAGGCTTCACCAGAGACAGAGTGGGGAGCAGAGCAGGCAGATCGACGAAGTACACTGCTGAGGGGAGTAGCGGGCGGGGCAGGAGAGGTCTGCCACACCAGGTGGTCACCTCCTGGGCAGGCGGGAATCGAACTCATGCGGAAGCGGCTTTAGATTCTCAGTGCTGTGCTTTAACCCACTGCGCCACCAGGGAGGGCCATGTCTGTAGAATTTTGAGGCTGTAAGATTTTAGCAGGTGTACGAGGGAAGAAAAGAAGGACTCTTCAGGACAGAACAAGGTATTAGTGATAAGAAAGGAGACAAATGAGGTGGTTTCCAAAAGCCTTTACCACGGGCGCGTGGACACAATTTGAGAAAATTAGTTCAAAGACAAATTTACTTGGTTATTAAGGGAAAGGTGCAGTAAATTTTCTAAGACATGAGAGACCACCTCTCAAGGGCAAAAGGACACAGAGATGGGATTATTTAGAGGGGGAAGACAGGTTTCTCAGCAAGACTTTTGAGTTCACCACATTCTGTTTTAGTGATCAAGCTTCTCTTGTTTTTAGTGATATTAATAAAGTCAATGACGCCATTGCTGACCAAATGGCCATTTTCATCCAGCGCATGACCACGAGCATCTGTGGGTTCCTGATGGGATTTTACCAGGGGTGGAAACTGACTTTGGTTATTATCTCAGTCAGCCCTCTCATTGGGCTTGGAGCAGCCATCATCGGACTGGTGAGACTGTCTTCTTGCTTCTCTCCAAGGGAAGATGTTTGCACTGAAAAACAAGAAAAAATTGTGAAGCTTACTTCCTTTCTCCTGAATTTGTTTAGCTAACATCATTATTGTTGTTTTATTTATTTTGTTTGACTATTACCCAATATCAGTATCTTCCATAAATTGGGGATTAATGATGTTCTAATAGTATAAATACTATTGTACTAATAGCAAGAACAGCTACATTTATTGAGCATCTGTTACTCCTCCAAGCACTATTAAGAGCTTCCTTTACATTATTTCTAATATTTATAGCATACTTATAAACAATTAATGTCATTTAGAATACACAAAATGAAAGCTCAGAAAGGTAAATGGACTTGTCTGGAGCTGCACAGCAAGTGATAGAACAGGATGCAAATTCATGGATACCTGACTCCACGTTCTCACTGACTCTCAGTATGCTTTCTGCTTCTGTTAATATCCCAAGCTCAGGGATCCCCTCAGAAAGACCATACAAAGCAAAACAAAACAAAACACTGTCAGATTAGTAGCAAAGCTATAAGATTACAGCAATCACTATTGTGTTAATTCACTGGATCAGATTTGCAGAGACTTGCTGACCCATTGTGAGCAGTATCCTGTCATTGTCTTGTCCCCTGGATTTACAGGCTAAGACAAAGTAGAGGAGTAGAAATTTCAGGCCACCCCAGTTAAAAACACTCCCAAGAATTGAGAAACTACTTCATATTTTTATAGCAGTTACCTTAGATAGCAATCATGGGATTATGCACACAAATAATTTCTGTAAATGAGAATAGAATTCAAGTGAAAAGCTGCACAGACACACATGATTGAGCAATGAAACATACCAATTTCCATGATGAAATTATCTCACAAAATGTTCTCTATCTATAGTCCACTAGCTAGATTACTCAGATATTGCCTAGGTAATTCAGAGTGACTCATTATATTCCAGGTCACCATTTGGCTTTACCACTTGGCTCAAGAAAGACATGTTTAACCTATCAGAACTTCAGTTTCTCATGTTTAAAATAAGGCTGATCCCTTCTAAGTCAACATGGTAATTCAAAGCATAATCCATGTTATGTACTTAGCGTGATGTCTGGCAGAATTCATTGCTAAAGAGACATTAGTTTATTTTTTTTCCAATTTACCACATCACACAAACTTTACAAGAGTCTTACCAAATGGTTTCCAGCTACACTCCAGGGAAACCTCAACTTTTGCAGAGGGTTTTCAGGGAGTCTATAAACATTTGATTCAGCTCATTCCCAAAAACACATTCAATCTTTTCTTCAAACCCATGATAAACTAATGTTCATGTTCAAATGAATCCTATGTCACATTAGCAGTTGAAAACCAGTGACATACTTGGTTTAAAAAGGGCTTAGAACACAGATTGTCTTATGGTCTTAGTGCCTATATTTCTATGTCTTATAAAATGTGTCACACATTTGGAATGTTGTAGCTCCGCACTGGTTTCATTATGAGCTCAGGCCTGTACTTGTTTGTAGAAAATGATAGAAGCAACTTCACTAGGTTCAACTCAAAAGCAGGATGTAAAAAAGGTGGAGGGACAATCTATGACTTGCTAAAAATTATGTGAGTTTTGTGTGCCCTTGTTTGACTTTAGAGCTTATGATGAAAAACATGAACATTTGTTAGAGAACTCCCGATATGTCTCTCTTACAAACCTGTGTCAGTTAAATTGAAGAATCCCAAGATTATTTAGTGGTAACATTTGCAGCTATTTAATTTTCTCACTATTGTGCTGTCAGTACACATTTCAGAAGTAAATTAGAAGACGATTATAGAGTGTCATCCAGAGCATTCAAGTTTAATGTTGATGAAAAAACCCCTCACCTTTTTTTCATAGTGCCTTTTCAATTCGCAATTTCTTATAAAATGTGAATTTGTGAAATAAGTCTATTTTAATAAGTTACTACTTTTACTTCTTCAGTATATTAGACTTTTGTCTAATAAGAATTCTACTGCAAAAAGTTTGGGAAAACCATTGGAAAGTAAACTATTAGTTTAAGCACTATATACTTCTTAGATTTGTGAGTTGGTCTTCTACAACATTTGATCTGTGTCAGGGATTTTTTTGGTGGTTAATTCTAACTAGCATGCAATCTTAAGTCCAATTTCAGAATAAGTAATTTGTTTACTAGTAGATGCAATGCCTTTGTTTGCACTTGTAAAAAGCAAGCTAGTTGGTTAAGATCTTGCAGTGGTGTTGAAATGCTATAATGTTTATCTACCCTTTGCATGCCCAGGCCCTCTCGCTCCTCCTAGTGTAAGTGCTGCTGAGGAGAACTCCTCTCTATCATTTCCATTCTAGCCAACATCATTTCTGCTCACGACTTCATTCTTCACCTCTGGTGTTTGTCAGCTTGGCAGTGGCCTTCTGCCACTAGCATGAAATATGACATGGGTTGACTTAAAAACTCCACTATTAAAGTGAGCAAAACTTGGTGGTCTCACAGATACACTTTGGGGGGTTAACTCTGTGAGTGGATGACTTTAATGGAGTCATCCTGATATATCAACAACCAAACGGGGCAGGTGAGGTTTAACATGGATTACATTTGGATCAAATTCTTTCCTCTGGAAACACCGTTACAATTGGCGTGTGCTCTTATAAGCAATTGTGCCATGTGTTTACTCTCATAAATGAATCACTGAATAAGGAATTGACCTAATTTTCACTCATTTGCATTCATTCACATTTTCTTTTCTTTTAGAGTGTGTCCAGATTCACGGACCATGAATTGAAAGCCTATGCCAAAGCAGGGTCAGTGGCTGACGAGGTCATTTCATCTGTGCGAACAGTGGCTGCTTTTGGTGGTGAGAGAAAAGAGGTTGAAAGGTTGGTTAATAGAAATGTCTGCTGTTATTCTGAATTTCATAAGAAATTTGAAAAAAATTTCCCTTTACGCACAAAGTGGCTGATTCACCTTGGTCTGTGGGACCCTGAGGGAGATTTTGTTCAAGAGGTAGCAAATAGGATAATTAGATTGGATAAAGCACTACCAGAAGTCCCAAGTTTCTGAAGATGCTACAGTTGGTGATCTTTAGAAAATCCTGTCAGGTGAGATATTTATTTTAAACTCTGGAGGTGTGTGGGTACCCATTCTGACCCCATCATCCTCCCACCACCACAGCACCCATGAGTCATCACCACAATACCTTCTGCTCTTCCCTCCCCTGTTTTGGTCCTTCTCCCTCCTCCTCCCCTCCTCATTTTCTTTCTTTAAATCTTCTCTGAATTGGGGGAAATTTAAATATCATTGTGCTGTGGTCTGTTTTAAATATTTTAACTTAAGCTGCTGCTATTGCTGCTGCCTTTGCTGTTGCTGAAATAGACTCAACTATTTTTTTGACACAGGTATGAAAAAAACCTTGTGTTTGCCCAGCGTTGGGGGATAAGAAAAGGAATAGTGATGGGATTCTTTACTGGATTCATGTGGTGTCTCATCTTTTTGTGTTATGCACTGGCCTTTTGGTATGGCTCCAAACTCGTCCTGGATGATGGAGAATATACACCAGGAACTCTTGTTCAGGTATTTTGATCTTAATCATAGAAGCATAGTATTTCCTGCAGGAATCTCAGACAAGTCCATGGTTAAGACATTTTTGTTATTACTTTAGCATCTGAGGGAGAAAAGTGTCAGTGATTTGATAGTGTTCATGTGTAAAAGCAAGCAATACTTGTACATTTTGTAGTAAAGAGAAATCAAACATTTGAATTGATAAGACCTGCAATTTTGTAAGTTCCAATTAATTGAAGGTTTTATAGTTGTAAAATCATGATTTTCTTGCCATGTCCAAAAGATATGTCAGGAAAATGGAAAGTCAGCTAAAAATTAATAATTCGTGTAGCTGAGCTTAATAATGTTACAAGATATGCACTAATGGATATAATGAGTTATTAATATACTAAGCCAATAATATCCTCAACTGAACACGTAATAAAAACATACTTTATTGCCACAGCTACTTTAATTTCCAGTACCCTTCCAGTTGTTCTTACAAGAATTGGTTGTTGAAGATCTACCATGTACCAGGCCCATATAAAGCACAGGGTCTCAATAGTAAGTAAAAGAAATGTAGTCTTAGCCCTGAAGGATTATTTCACTTATTTTTAGTTTAGTAGGAAAGGCGAGCAATAATTAAATGATCACTATAAATAAATGATGACAAATAATATCATAGGTATAAAGTAGAAGACAGGGAATATTGACAGTGAATAACAGTGTAGTCAAAGTAGCCAAATTCAGGAAAGCTCTTCCACTTATTCATTCTCCCAAACACTTTCCTCCTCAGCTTACAGCCCCCTCTCCTTGCAGCTGGATTCTTATCACTCTTCAGAATCTCAGTCAGGCCTTCCAGGTTCAGCTAGTGCTATATTCCCTTCGTTACTTGCTGACCTTTCCTCTCAGAGTTCTTGAATGAATATTTGTACTTTTTTATATTTCTACCATCCCTTTTTGCCCTCACGTAGTAACTCTATGAAATCTGTTAGGTTTGGTTTGCTTCTATGGACCATGATGGCCTTAGCACCACCTCAACCTAATGCTTTCCTTATTTACTTAATATGCAAGTTCTTACCTTCAAGTTTTGTGCCATTGGATTGTGGGCTACTTCATATATTCTATAAATAATTCATTCTTGCAACTGATAGTTCTTATGTACTTAACTATACACAAACATGTGTCTCTAACATTTTAACCATTAGTTACCAACATTTTACTCTTAAACTCACTTCTAACTTCTTCCCTCAAGCCTCCACTTAATGCCTTAAGAAATAGAAGATGAGCAGTATCCTTTAAAAGTGTAAACATTGTTTACTCTCCCCCTCCCCATGAGGACTCATCATTGAGGACTGAGTATGCATGAACTAAGTTGAATGTTTTTATTTCACTAAACTAATAATTAGGTTAATCTAACACATTTGTAGTGCACAAAATCATTATTGGCTATGGTAATTGGGCGCAAGTGGTAAGTCATTCACATAAATGACTGTAATTAAGATCATTGGTACACAGCCAGATGAAAAGTTCCCTTTGTGATCTTTTGAGAGGAAAGATGAAAGGGTACTGAATGGCGAAGAAGGCTGCTCTTTCCTGATCCTGAGTCTCCAGATCCAATGATAACAAATACTATCAGCAACAGAGTAATAGTATTCA